TCTTCATTGCCATTTGTGCATGCAGTCAATCAGGTATCTGTCTCAGACTGTATTCTGATCTGTGTTTCCATTTCTCTTGAGGCGTGGGATCGTGTCTGGGATCTGGAAGGTATTGTTTATTTTATATATTTCAATATCTTTAATATTTCCTTGTTAAATTAATAATTTTAGTTAAAATTCAAACTCATTATATTTTTTCTTTTATGATAATGAATATTAGATGATAATGATGAGGACTTGGAAACATATTGCTGTCCAAGAAGACTCAATGTTTTTATTGCGGATGAAGATTGAGAAAAATATTAATTAATCTGAGTTATGAATATTTGATTATGTATTTATTGGTATGTTGATGGGATTGTAGTTTGTGTAATTGTATTAAAGATTAAAAATTTAAAATTTTATTTATGTTTGATGTAATGTATTTACTTATTTATATTTGGTGTAATTTATTTATTTGTTATATGTTTTTATTATTTAATTTATAAACTAAATCATAATATAGTTATATTTATTTTACTAAAATAATTTTTTTTTTGAAAAAAATGGGCTAACCCGGCCCAACCCGTGGGTTAGCAAAAGGTGGGTTGGGTTGAGGATTTTGTAGCCCATATAAAATATGGGCTGGCCCGTCCCAACCCATATTTTTTCAACCCACAAGGGCTAGGGCCGGGTTGGGCCGAGCCGGCCCATATTGACAGGTCTATCTATGAGTGTTGGCACATGTCCTAATTGAGGTTGATGAAGAATTTCGGGTTGATTTTAAATTTTAAAATTTATGTTTTTTAGGATTTACACCCTTACTACTCTTGGGTTATTTTTATATCTTTTGGTTTTACTTTACTTTAAGTGGGTCGGATCAGGTAATATTGCACGGGCCTTTTCCTAGTATATTTAATTTCGTGGACCATAAAATCATTTATCCTTTTCAATTATGGTGTCTAACATGTCTATGCCTAGTGTCAGCGAAAAAGCTCACATGGCTGGTGTTAGATGGAGAAACTAACTCATCGAAAAGATAATTGAGAACCAAATAGTAATCTATAGATAAACCTTGATTGTAGGTATAGTGTCAAATCCAAGGAAAGAAGAAGTTGTATGTGCAAAGATTGGATTTGCATTACCATTCGCCAATCAAACAGGATGGGAAACTTACGACGTAGATTTTGGCCGTTTTTCTAACTCGAAACTTCGGTAATAAAATGACATGAATAAAAGGGGGCTTTGTCGCTGTTATCCAGATGGATCGTACAGCTAAGGGCCTTCTTAAGGTTAGAATTGATTGGATCCCAGTAGAGAAATGGCCCCGGGCCTTGTAATTGTCCTGTCGGATGCCTGACAAAAAGTCTAAGGGGGGGACCCAGGATCACCTAAATGAGCCAACCTGCCTTTGACAGGTTAAAAAGAAAAATTCCGGACACGAGAGGGAAACTGTTAACAGAAATAAAAACCAAGGGTCCTTTTTCTTATTATAATCTGGTTTCAAGCTCAACATTGGGAGTTCCAGCAGGCACCAAGCCAGGGGCTGTTAGCTTTCCATGCAGGGGATGCACAGGCTTGCTCTATTCCCCGTCTTTAAGTTTAGATCTCCCAAGGCTGGGCCAGTTATTTTTTTCATTGTTTGGGTCCGTAAGGCCAGGCCTTATTGGGATTGGGATCCTGATGACCATGCTCCGTGAGAAAGAGGAATTGAGTCATTGACTTTTGGTTCAGTGGCTAATAACTGCCCATTGCCAATTTGATATAAAAAAAAAGTCTTCAAGTTTTATATTCATTTAATATGAATTAAACTTGTACTGTATGGATGTTTATATACGTTTTTCATAAAAAATAATTAGTTTATTTTTATTATAAAAAAACCAAGTCAAGAAACCCGTTCCGTAGTTCAACAACTGCCTCAGTGATATACAAAAGCGTAACATGCATGGTTTGCAAAATGAATTCGGAATGTATAAAAATTACCTTTACATCAAATATAAATTTTATTATAATTAAATCAATTGGAGAGTGTTCAATTACATATCAACCGAATCCGATGCCAACTTCAAGGCATATGCAATGTGGAATTATAATATTATATATTTATTAAAATTAAATAAATTTAATTATTGTTATATAAAAGGAAAACAAAAGAGTGTTTTGATAGTTAGTAGTTACCATAGATTGCATCGACATGCTGAGGTTGGTGCATGGGAAATTTATTTAAAAAGATTATTTGTGTTGTTCATTAAAAACAGAAAAAACGGTTTTGGTGGCATCGACAAGCTCATCTTCCAAACTTCCATTGGTTTCTCCTTCTGGCGTAACAGGTCGGACGAACCCTTTCTCGCCATGGCATAGTATATAAGAAATCCTGTTACTCGTGTCAAAATGTCGGAACATAATAGTCGGACTCAAAAAGACGGTGCATGTCTGAGTTCTCACTTAAACTCTAGCCACATTTCTCTCTTCTTTTTTCATCTCTCAATCCTCATTTTGTTTCGGTACCAATGGGTGATTCAAATGCTAAGGTTTCTAAATTCGACTCCCCAATGTCGAACCCCGATGAACCAACCCAGAATAATCACGCGGTATCGCCGGCGACACCCACGGCTACAGACGTGGAGAATCCTACACCGGGAGTGGAGTCTGGTGTCTCGACGATTACAAGGCGATGGAGAAGGGAGGATTTGTTGAAGAGAGGATCCCTGGTCGCTAGAGGACTGGCATTGTTGTTCTCTTTCCTTTCTTTCATAATCATGGCTAGCAACAAGCACGGTGATGAGGGAGATGGGGAAGATTTCAACAAGTACCAAGAATACAGGTAACCGTAAATCCAGTCATATGATATTAAAACGAAACAAGGATTGTTCAAAGATTGGAAATTAGAGTTCCATTTGATCTTGGGGTTGCTAAATTTTGCAGGTATTTGTTGGCAATTGCAATTTTGTCGTTTTTGTACACAGGAGGACAAGTGGTGAGACACGTCATCTGGACTGGGAAACAGATACTTGAACGACGTGACTCTGCAATGGTGGACTTTTTGGGTGATCAGGTTGGTTCTTCCAGAACTTTCGTCAACTTGTTTCTAATAAAAAATTTCTGTTTGGTCGCTACGAATCAATGGGAAAAACACTTTATTTGTCTTTAATAGAATTTTTAGAGAGTTGTGTACATTACTTGGTCAATCATAAGGAAGAAACAGAGGACTCTAGAAAAGTCTCTGTACGGCACGACAGGGAAAATATGATTTGATTTTCCTTTTCGAGCCTCCTTGCCATTGGGGGGCTGCTGACAGCTGAAACCAAATTGTCACGTGTCTTTAAAAGTTACAAGTACAATATCTTTCAACATGGCACGTCTGACTTGACAAGTTCCAATCTTTAACCAAAACTGCCGATGCCTTTGCGGCTTTGCCGACTGAGCAAGCAGCGAATTTCCAGCAATTGGGTGGAATGTTTGTTGCACAAGCTTGAATTCTGGTGTAATTGCAATATATTAAACAGTTAAAAAGTATGATTGGAACAAGGGTTTTGAAATATTTTAAGTTGCAGGTGATGGCATACCTGTTGATATCATCAGTATCTGCAGCGATTCCAGTTACAAACCAGATGAGAGAGGGGCTGGACAACATTTTTACAGACTCCTCAGCTGCGGCTATTAGCATGTCTTTCCTGGCGTTTCTATCACTGGCACTGTCAGCCATGGTTTCGGGCCATAAACTTTCAACCCAATCTTACATCTAATTTATAGCTTTTCAGCTTTTTTCCTTTTGTAATCTTCTTCCACTTCCTCCATTAAGTGATTCTTCGGGTATTTTATATGTCATCCATTTGTCCTGTCCTGTATTTGACTCCTACAATCTGCTACACAGTTTTAAGTGAGGCATTGTTTATCAGGCCTCAAAACAAATGAACGAATGCACTAATTCTGTGTATGAGTTTCGAAATCTGCAGATCCCAAGTAACTATGTAGATATACAATCAAAATAAGCAAAGCTAATTGATAAACATTCTACCTTGTTGATGTCCAACTAACTTGGCGTTTTTAAGAAAACAAGCATTGCCTTAACCATTGAATTGAACCCAATGCCAATGACAGTTTGCAGAACAAATTTAATATGTCCTTTGATATGTACTTGTTTCTCGAAATGACCAAACATAATTTAAGATAAATAGATAGTTTCGAGTTGTTAGAACAGAAAAAGAAGAGGATATCCTCAAACTTCAATTGGTTCTGGCATAACAGATTGGTCGAATCCTTTCTCCCCACGTCATAGTATGTACAAGAAATCCTGCCACACGTGTCAGAATTTCGAAACATAAGGGTCGTACTTGAAAGACTTCCCTTGAAAGACAGGACAAGGCTGAGTTGTCAGTTGCGGGAAACAACGTTTCTCAAACCCCAGTTCGTTTCTGTTCCGCGAAAAGTCTCCACATTTCTCTGTTCTTCTTTGATCTTTCTCGTTCATTTTGTTTTTTGGTAGCAGTGATTCAAAGCCTTAGATTTCTAAATTTGATTCCCACATGTCGAATCCCGATGAACCGACCATGAATAATCACGCGGGATCTCCGGTTCCCGCGGCTACACCCAGTGCCGACGTGGAGAATCCGACACCGGGAGCAGGGTTCGGTGTCTCGGCGATTACCAGGCGATGGAAAAGGGAGGATTTGTTGAATAGGGGATCCCTGGTGGCTAGAGGATTGGCTTTGCTGTTCTCTTTGCTTTCTTTCATAATCATGGCTAGCAACAGGCACGGTGGTTGGAAAAATTTCGACAACTATGAAGAGTACAGGTGATTGAAAATCCAATCTTATCAATCGAAACGAAACATGCGGTTTTTCCAAAGATTCGAAATTAGAGTTTAATTTGATTTTGGGGTTGTTTCCTTTTTGCAGGTATTTGTTGGCAATTGCAATTCTGTCGACTTTGTACACAGGAGTACAAGCGTTGAGACACGTACATGAGATCTCGACAGGGAAACAGATATTTGAGCGACGTATCTCTGCCATGGTGGACTTTCTGGGTGATCAGGTTGGTTTTCCCAGAACTTTCATCAACCTTATTTTAATAATAAAAAATTGTGTTTGTTTGCCAAGAATCAACGGGAAAAAACTAGATTTGTTTCAATCGAACTTTTAGAAAGTTTGTGTACATTAGACTTGGTCAAAGCAGCGAATATGGTGCTCCGGTTTGGGATGAAAGAATAAGATTAACCATAAGGAAGAAACAGAGGAGTCTAGAAAAGACTCTGTACGGCATGACATGGAAACTAGGATTGATTGTGACCTTTCGAAAGCCTCTTGCTTTCAATCTGGCACGCGTTCCTAAAATTTGCAGGTACAGTATAAGTCAATATGGCACGTCTGATTTGAAAAGTTCCAACTAAGCAAGAAGGAAAAATTTCCATTGCACGAGCTTTAATTCTGCGTAATTGTATATACCCAAAAATTAAAAAAGCATGATTGGAAAAAGGGTTTTGAATTGCAGGTGGTGGCATATCTGTTGATATCATCAGCATCTGCGGCAATTCCAATGACAAACAGGATGAGAGAAGGGCAGGACAACATTTTCACAGACTCCTCAGCTTCGGCTATCAGCATGTCTATCTTTGCGTTTCTATCACTGGCACTGTCAGCCATGGTTTCAGGCTATAAACTTTCAACCCAATCTTACATCTGATTATGACTTTTAGCTTCTTCTTTTCATAATCTTTTCCCACATTCTCCCTTGAGTGATTCTTTGTGTATTTATCATTCATTTGTCATTTATGTCATATTTAACGTGTAAATTCTGTGCGTATGGTTTGATTGTTTCAAAGTCAATAGTGAAAATGCCTCTTCCTGTTGCTTAAAGTTCTTCAAAGCAATGATTGTGGCTTGAAATGTGCATGATCATATAGAAACGTAACTTGACGGTTGGAAGCTAGAGCATGACGGTCAATAGAAAATCTTCTCCGTCATACTGAGCAAACAGCGGAGTTGCAAAACAGGGTAAAAAGGAAAGATTCGCGTGGCAATTAATTAGAGGGGAAGAGGGAAAGAAAGAGTTGTGAGGGGAGGACTACCAGAATTTCACAATGTAAATCGTGTCTTAAGTTGAGGAAATTCTTTATTTAACACTGAAATCCATTTTCTACTTGCTACTCCTACAATCTGCTTCAAAGTTTTGAAGTGAGGCATTGTCTTCTACCAGGCCCCAAAACAAATGAATAAATGCACTAATTCTGTGTATCAGTTATAAAACCTACAGAACCAAAGTAACTGTATAGTTATACAATCAAAACAAGCAAAAGCTAATTGATAAACATCTGCTTTGTTGATGTGTTCCTAAAGTTAGTTGTTTCACTTTCAAGAAAGGAATCCATCAAAAAACGAATCATCCTCGGGTTCGTCCTTAGCTCTAGCAAATGCCCCTTCTGAGAATTGTGCTTGGCTCATGTAGGAGCCAATGGCCTTTCCAAATCCCGAGAATCCATAACCACCTTGGTTCTGCAGCATTTCCAAGGTAACTGGAGGTTGACTTCCTGATGTTGGCAATCTTGTCTGAAGGGAGTTTGGGTAACTTGTGTTGCTAGCCTGACCGGGGACCGCAGAAGGCCTTATAGGCATGGGAGCATTGCTGTTGTTTGTAGTGGAAGCTCTGTTTATTGCGTAGCCGCTCCCACGTGCTGCTGGAACATCATGGTTGTGTTTCCCTTCGTAAGTTGTGATCACGGCCCTCAAATCATGGGATGCTCGCTCAACATGTTTTCTCACCGGACAGCCAATTGTTGTACATTTGTAGTAGCTCCTGTAGAGTGGATAACAGAACAATTTCAGTTTAAGTTGAATAAATCTCTAAGCATCTTCATCTCCCTGAACAATTAGGTGAAGGGTAATCACCTTGGATTGGGATTTCCTTTTACTACTTTCTGTCCATATTTCCTCCATCTATACCCGTCATCAAGAATGTCGATATCACTTGTTGTTTGCACCACTATTCTAGGCTCTCTCACCGTTCTGCTACCAGAACCTATGATACCCTCATTCTCATTTTCACCTTTCCTGCAAAAGAGAAAATTACATGATTAGAAAAACAGTTATTCTTCCACCATAAAAGTATAAGCAAGGCCATTAGCAAATCTGTTTTTGCTAGGCTTACCATCTTTTGGCATCGGGTTCATTTTCATTGTCATCACCACCTGGATTACTTATTGGTGAAGCTTGGTCAAACTCATCCTCCCCTATGGAACCTGAAGTATCCTCGTGCACGAGAAAGGAGTCTGTTCGCTCGTTCCCTAATGTACCACCTGATTGATCCGATATTTCCGAGTTGGTGCATGCAGAATGAGATGATGACCTTCTTGTAGACTGAGGCTTGGGGTGGTTATGGCTTCCCTTATAAACTATTTCAGTTATCTGTCCATCCAAAGATCTTTCCACCTTCTTCTTTGTGGGGCAGTTGGGATATGTGCACTTGTAATAACTGCGTGGGTTCTCACTTCCTTTCACTTGTTTTTGCCCGTATTTTCTCCAATTGTATCCATCTTGCACCTTTCTGTTCTCCCTGGGGTACTGAGTCGATTGATTGTATTGGCTGTAAGCAGCTGGTTGGGAATCCGTATTGCTTTGTTGCATAGTCGTTTGTAATGGTGCCATTTCCGAGGAGAAGTTCTGCATCGGAGCAAATTCTGATTTTACTCCAGCAGCCTTCTCCACGGGCAATCCAGGTTGCTTCATGGGCTCACTGAAATTCCAAGTCGATTGTTCCTGTTCATGTAGCACAAGATTAGACCAAAACTTGAGGATGAGAACAAACAAAAATGATATCCATGGAAACAAACTAAATTAAAACATTCTGTTTAACCAAGTCCCTAAGGAGCTGATCCTGTCCAACCAGACTGAAACCATCAGTCGTTGTTCCAAATTCCAACTTAGCAGCAACAAAATTACTATCATTTGGGAAATGATGTCTAAAAAAAACAGCAGTTCAACATTAAACTTTGAATCTCGAAATTGGTTTTTGTTTCTGTTTCCCTACTTTAGGATACGTATCATTTATGGAAAAGCATGCTGCTGCTTTCTTGATTCTCGTAAAAATCTTATTGTTTTTGTTGCTTTTGGTACCTTACAAACCGACAAAACATCTCAAAAGGCCAAGGGTATTTTTATATTTTCCAAACACGACAAAAAAAAATCTGCGGCAATCCCAAGAGAACTGATTGAAATTAAAGCTTACCACCGAAACAATGTTTGAAGAAGATTGAAAGGTGGATGATGAAGTCGAGGAAGGCCTTGGCTGGGGTTGAAAAGAGAAATCAAAGAAGTTGTTGTGTTCCCCCTTGATTCCTTGTTGATTGTCATTAGAATTACTCCTCCAGTTTAAGGTTTGACTAGCAAAAGCCCCTGTTGTCGGAGAAGGGAAAATCTATAGAAACCCAACGGAAGAAGAGAAGAAAATGATCCATTAGTATCGGCAGTATCTATGAAAACAGTATGTTCAATTAATTGTTTAGAGAGAAGAAATTAAGAAACTCACACTAGAAGTGGAGAAGAGAACAGGTGAGCCCAAGAAATCAGTAGGGCTAAAAGCTGCAGGAGGTGTAGCCAAGTAAGAAGAAGGAGAAACAGGAGCTGGAGAGATGGGCAGTGAAGAGGGAGCAAGTGACTTGAACTTTGGGATTTCAATGCCAAATTTATCAGTTGCCTGATGGTCAGAAAGTCCCCAGCTGGTCATCGAAGTGCTTCTGTTTTGGTTAATGTTGTCCATCATGAAAGAGGAGGAAGCAGCCATGGGGTTTGAGCTGGAGAAATGGAAGGCTGCTTGGGAATTTATAGAAGAAGTATTGGAAGTGTTGGTTCCTGAAGAAGAAGCCATAAAAAGAGAGAGCAGGGGAGGAGGACAGGTGAGGGGGAAAGATGTTTTTTCATGGTGAGTGATGAGTCTTTTGCATTAAGGTCTTCCTCCTCCATGTTTCTTCTGGGAAGCCAAAAGCAAGTTTGACCGTGGAAAAATAATTCCCGGTCAAAGCTTGTGGCTTTGACTGGACTAGCCATATTAATCACACATGAGTGGCGGCTGACGAGCTGCGCTGATTGAAAATCCAACAGACACCCTTTGCTTGACATCTGTCCCCTGCTCGAATCCACTGATTTTGTTCTACGGATTAATGATTCCAAGGTTGCTCATGTCTTACTACTAACATCTGGGAAACCTTTTCACTGTTAAACAAATAAATGTAAAATTATTCCAACAAAAGAACATGAAAAAAGAAAGTAACATCCCGTGTCGTTTAGCACAAGTAGCTTGAAAAGCAATGGGCTATAAGCTTTTGCCGCGGGAGAAGGCAAAGCCTTGGGACATTGTCAAGCTAAGCCGAGGTTCATTAACCAATGAACTGGTCTTCTCTTTGTAGCATCCTTGTAATTTTGACCAGTCCTGACGTTGACATCTGCATTTCCTAATGACCCTTTAATTTTGCTAAATACAAAAACACACATGAAATTGCATGGTGTAATGGTATCAGGCGGCCTGGGCTTTTGCCTTATCAGCTTTGTCAAGATGCTTTCTTATTTTGCTGATACATGACCCCCGGTGGCCAGAACATCCCAGTCAGGCCACCTGAACCGTAGCTCCAGTGGCCTTCTTTCAGGGAAAATAGCACTTCACCGTTTCTGTTGCATTGGGTCACTGTTCATTTTGAGAATTTGACCATATCAATTTCTCTTTGTTATGTAGCAGCATAATTTTGCTTGACTCCGTCAACTATATATAAGAAAGCCCATTTTTTTATACAAAGGAAAGCTTTGTTTTTTTCATTGTTTTTGGATAATCATGTTAAACTTCAAAGAAACCTTTTTGGTTAAACGCTTAAGCTCAATTCTTAATAGAATACTGTTCCAAGCTTTTGTTTTCTGGTGATGTAATCTCATTGCCACCTGTTCTATAGAAATAGAAGCTTTCTGACCACAATGACTGGGTACAAAGTTCAAAATGGGGATGATGTTCCGAGGCACCCCTTTTAGGAAGCCGAACTGTGATCTCAGAGTCTGATTCTGTTGTAACAAAACCAATGCTCCATGCACCATGCTAGCTAGTTGAACTCCAGTTTACATCGATGCTCCCCACGATCCAATTCCCTACTCCACTCTTTGGGTTGTGACTCATCAACGCCTGCTTTATTGTTACCTTGAGACTAGCATTTAGTTTCTAGTAATTGAACCAACCCCACTGGGATTAATTACCCGATTGAGAAAGAACTCTTTGTGAATCACTCTGGATGTACTCTATTCTTCCCCATCTGCTGCTATTTTCTCTGATTATATCTAGGAACCAACGTTTCTTCATTAACAATGACGCCCTTCTTCCTCCATTTCAAAAGAAACCAGCAAATAGTGGTGAACACCACTCTCCTAGTCGAGCATCATACCAGATTCTTCCATACAAATTAATATTTTAAGAACATGCTCTTAATTCCACGCCTCCCCCTTTTTTAATTATTATTCTTATAATTTTTAAAGATTGCAGATCACATTTGACTCAGTCCATTGACGACCAATTTCAATTATAATGCAAAAACATGCATAACCTTTTTCCATGACCCCGTCAACTATAGCCTCCAATTTCTGTACCAGAAGCCAAACGCAATGCACTTACATTTTGGTTAAAACCAGCTCCTTGCTTGATCTAATCCACCATTCTGCCAACATGGTGCCGCATAAATCCTCATTAAGTGTCGTCTGATTCTAATGACAGTGAAGCATCCATAAAATGATCACATACATCAAGCAAACTTGGGACTAACAAACATAAATACACATTCTCCAATTCTATCAAAAGTTTCACGTACACGCAACTATGCGAGGCGTAGAGCCATAAAGCTTGATTATTTTGACATCCAAGGCTAACAGTGTGACATTCCAATCCACATATGGCATCTGAAGAAACTTAGCCTAACTTTTTCATTTTGTTGGCAAGAGCTGTTGTCTCACCTGGAGGCTAATACTTTGTCAACAACCCAATATCTTACTGATTCCGCTGAGTTCACTGCTAGAATCTGCACTTGACAATAATAGCTGCTAACTCCTCTGACCTACAAGATCTTCAAGAATCTCTATGGCATTGGATCTTCCAACTGTAATTTCCAACACTTGGGATCTAATTCCACCTGTCAAATGCATAAATGAATCGCTTAGTCAATAGGAGAATAATTATTGAAACCTAGTTTCTGACTTGGTGTATGCATTTAGTTCCTTGCAAGATTGTCAAAGTCCCTCCCAAAACCAAGACAAACATACAGTTGCTCATAACCATCTTGCAACTTCTTCTATACGTACATAGACTACTTTCCAATTGAAATTCCAAAAATATGTGTGCATTACATTTGAAATATATTGCAACTACATCTGTATGTTCAATGACATTTGAAATGTATCATGCTTGACAAGACACTTTCGTTATGATAAATTTTGTAACAAAATCATACACCTTACCTGAAGCACTTTATCTCTCCACTGAAACATACAACCACGTGCTTCCAAATGTTCAAAAAGTCGATGGGGTAATAGCCATCTAAAAGCTGCCTGAAGCTTCACTTTTCTTAACCCTCCACAGGCCAGTAAGGCAGCTGCCAATCCACTGGGGGTCAAGCCCTTTAAGTGCAAGATGGTTATGTTCTGTAAGCAGCTGATGCTGGCCAGTGATAACAGTCCTACATCCGTAACTGAGCTATGGGACAAGTTAATCTGCAGAGAAAAGAATAAATCAGATTTGGCATTATGTCTACTTTTCTTTTGCGTGCAAAGTTCCCAGCAAAGGAGAGGGTAGCATACTTGTCTGAGGTTTTGAGAAAAATGAGCAAGTGGAAGCATTCCAGCATCATCAACGTTATGACACTTCTTTATGTCTAGCTTAGAAAGTTCCTTGCACCCCACAGCAATGGCTGTTAGTCCTAAAGATGTAATCAGTGAACACCCTCGACTTTCAAACGTTTTTAACCATGAGCACTTTGATAAAGATAGCAAGGAACGATCTGTAATATCTTTACAGTAGGCTATATTAATCATTTCAAGGCCAGGGCATCCTTGTGCAATTGCTAAAATGCCCAAATCTGTTATTTCTGCACACCTGTAAACAGCAGCCATGTTCAGATAATCATGAATTGTTGCCTTCATTGCATCAATGACAAATCAGTTCAGAAATAAACTGCAAAGAAATAAGCTTGTGACGAAACCAAATCTAAGACCAAAAGATATAAGAGAGGTTACCCCTAATAGACTAAAGGAGAAAGTATAAAAGGGACCAAAAGAACCCTTAATGGTGCTCAAATAGCTAACCTGTACAGATCAAGCTCTATAAGTTTTGAGCAGCCCCTGCCAATATGGATGAGTCCCTCATCAGTTATATTAAGGCAAATTCCTAGCTTCAAGTTGGATAGTTTGGAACATCTGGAGATGGACTTAAGGCCTGTAAAGAGAAGAGACTGTAAGTGCATCAAATAATGCCATAGTTCAAACCATAGTAGCAAAAAGAAAAAGAAGAAAAAAACCTTGATCGTCAATTTCGTTATCTGTAAGGTCAAGCTCTTCAAGCAAATGGCACCGCTGTCCAATCAAACCAAAGGCTTCTCTAGAAACCAGAGTGCATGACTCCATCCTGAGAGAAGTAAGAAAGTTGCACGAATTTGTGATGTGGGCAACAGAAACATTGGTTATCTTGCGGCAACATGTAATGTCTAGCTTCCTTAAGTCTTTGTGTTTTGTTACAACTGATGAGAGGCCTTCATCTGTCACTCCTAAACATTTACTTAAGCTCAGCTCCCTTAGGGACAGACACCAATTTCCAATGGTTTTCAACCCATCATAGGTAATCAGACAACCATCCAATTTAACTGATTGCAACAGGGAAAGCTTCTCCAAACAATCAGCAAGGGAAGAAGTTACCTGCAGCATCACCAAATGCTACATTATAACTACAAAGGAGGATCATAAAAGCTTTTCAAATATATAACAGGAACCTGTTAGGAGAGAACGAGATAACAATATAGAAAGACTTACTGGAGAACCATGGGCTAATGTGAGTTGCTGCAGACCTTCAGCACCGCTTATTAGGGAAGACAAGCCACTGTCAGTGATATTCTGACAAGTCGACACATCAAGACTCTGATAAAGGACATGTAAATTGATTTTTGTCAATTAAACTATTCAATGAGAACATAAACAAGAACAAAAACAAACTTTTGATCAATAAGATATAGTGCCTTCAGGATCCTGTGTAGGTACGATGACCAGATTATAAGGTCCCATTGTGCACGACAAATTTAGTAAAGAAACCATAAAATTTAGCACCTCACTCATGCACCGCAAAAGAATAAAAGATGCAGGAATCCTATAAACAATATCAGACTTCTCTCAAACCCCGTTTCGACATGACAATAAGTATAGATTATGCGAATGATAACTGCGCCCCAGGGTTGAAAAGAAGGAACAATTTTCCCTGGCCTCAGATATGACAAATGTAACAGTGAAACCAAAAGTGTTTAAGGAAAAACCTACACAATAAGTGGAAACCCTAAAATAAACCAACTTTCCACAAGAATATACCTTTAATGACTTGCATCCGTGTTTGAGGACTGCAAGGCTGTCATCGTCGATACCAAAGCATCCTTCCATGACCAAATCTTCTAGATGTTGCAATTTCAAGACAGACGATAAACATTTATTTGTAATCTGCACAACGTTAAAGCAGTCAATAAAAAAAATATATCTTTCTTTATAATTTCCAACGAAAAGTACTTGTTCAGCATTTAAGACAGTAGTATAAGATACGAGATGCAAACAGTTAAGAAAAGAAGAAAATTTGAAGGCTAGACAAGAATTAATAACAAGCCAGTAATCAAATCCAAGAACAGAGAAAAAGTCTTGAGCTTGACAAACAATCCCATGTAACAGCGAAAAAAACAGAACCATAAAAGGAAAATGAAAGAGGAACATACACGAAACAAAAAGGGACTTACAGGCAAGTAAGAGAGATCCAAGTAAACAATTTGCTTGCACTTAACAGCAATCAAACCAACACCCAAATCACCAACCCCCAAGCACCATTTCAAGCAAACGAACCTCAACTTTCTGCATCCAACTGCGACACATCCCACGCCCAAATCCGTGATCGACTTACACCTGGCTAGCCACAGCTTTTCCAAATTCTTAGCCTCAGCAACAGCTGCCATAGCGGAATCTTTCAATTCTGTCCCGTTGGACAAATCAATCTCCACGAGGTTCTTACAATTCAGAGCCAAACCCAACAACCCGGAAGTCGAAAACAGACGACTTCTTGAGAAATCAACGGAACGAAGATCAGAGGTGCATGCATTGGATATAATGGAGAGAGAGGTGTCGGTGACACGAGAGCAGAGGGTGAGATCGAGATGGGTGATATTGGGGTAGCGGCAAAGGATTGCTGGGAGGTGTTCTTGCCGGAGAGGCTTCAAGGTCCTCCGGTGCTTGGCTTCTGTAGCGTAGAAGGACTTGCAAACTAAAGAGAAGGACTTTTTGTCAAGCGGGTTCCGGTTTAGGAGGTCGAGGATCATGAAAATGATCTCTTCAGAGAGCAGATCAAAGGGGTTGAAGCCTCCAAAGCACTCTTTCTTTTGCTTGCTCATAGTTGTTCTGAAAGGTTAGAGCTTGGGAGATAGAACTGCGTTTGCGTTTGTGTGTGTCTGGTTTTGGGTGATCTCTTGTTTGAGGCGGAGCCGTATCCGTTGATAGAAAAACACAAGACAAAAGTAGAGAAAGCGGCACACTGATGAAGAAGAAAGAATGTTTTAAATTACGGTTATAGCCTTGTGCGACTGTCCCCTACCCTTGGCTTTCATCACGTATGATTTTTTCTCTCTCTCTTCATTCCGTAAAGGGGAGGGGCATGCTGGTCAGTAGGAAGAGCAACGACGGTTCCGTACGGCAAAAGGACGGGGTGAGGACAAGAAGAGTTGACGAGGGCAACACGGTCATTAGAAAAGTCATTGTCTTTTATCGCAAAGCAGAACTCATTTGGTGGAAGAAGTATGTGAGGAAGGACAGATTCAAGTGCGGAAGGTACGAGCAGCAACTTTGACCCCACCAGCCGTTGAGAGTGTAGATCAAGTTTCTTGAATAAATAAATAAATAAATAAGAATTGCCTGCCAAATATACCTGTTAGATGGGAGAATGCTTACTTGGTTCGAATCTAGCTCCATCTGGTGCTTTTCATGATAAAAGAGATTAGGGTTCAAGTTAACGAATGCGTTAGGTTTATCCTGTTAGCATAGCATTTATCAGGAATTTCAAAAAATATATATATAATATCAAGTAGGAGAAAGTGCTATTTATAAATCCATGTTAAGTAATAAAAAATGTTATTTATAAAGTCGAGCATTGATATAAAATTGGTAACGCTGAAAAGAATAATGAAGAATGGGAATTCAAAGGCCATTTGTGGTAGTGGTACAAGTCACAAGGATGCTAAAAATATATAGGGGATATTCGCCGTACCTGTAAGTGGACAGGCATAGTACCAGCCTTACTCAGATAAGAACGGAGGGGAGTCAAAAAAAGTTTTTGAGGAATTTGGCCAGGAAGGGCGTGACTCGTACCGGGTCTTTCTCATTTTTCTCCTTTTCTCCTTTTCTCGTGGCTCCAAAATGCCCTTGACTGGTGGGGGTGCCTCTTTTCCTTTGAAATGACTTTATTGCCTACAATCCATTGCTTTTTATATTTCTCTTTTTCTTTTCTGGTGGAGGCACCTGGGTACTTGGACTAGTCCTTTTGGACGGCGTTTGTTTGTACCCCTTTCTTTTTCTGGTAGTGCTCAACCGTGTCGAGAATCAGGATGACCGAAGCAAAGATCCTCTTGCTTTAGCCATTGGAGTCTTCAATCTCAATGATGACTTGACTCCAGCAATGTCACCCTGTAAATCTGAATAAATTTCTTACTTTTCTTGGAAAAAAGAAAAAAGATGCAAACAAACCTTGGGTCATGTTCAAGCTTTGAATATGTCCATTTTGTTTGTCAAAATGTAAAATCTTCAGACAAATGTATGGCCATATTTTCATTTTTCCCATGGCCAATACCTTTGTGCCTGATATGTTCACGCACCTGATTTATTTGTCATGAAAAGCAAAGATTCTGGACATGCTTAATTGCCCACTTTATACAAGAACTTTTTTTATTTCATTTGGGGAGGAGTGGTACTGGGGACTGTCCTTGAGATTTCAAGAATATATTGTCCAATTCTTCTGTTCAGATAATTATAAGATATCTTTGCATTCATTCAGTCGTAAAACCAAAAGCTAAATATACCCCATGTGCTTTGGATTACAAAATTCATGCTTAGTCAAGTTGTTTTGTCCAGTCCAAAGGTTCCCAGTGGCGACTAAAACTTGCGACAGCCTGCTTTTGTTCCTCCACAGATTGATGCATCCTGCGACGATACACGTCCTCCTCGGGCAATTGTAGCATGCCTCTAATCACATTAAGACCACAGAGCAAGCTCTTGAATTGCTTTTCATCATCAATTGCATGAACAAATCCCCTGTTTAGACCGAATTCAACGTGCAAGTATGGGAAGTTTTTGGGAATCGAACCACACAATCCCTTCTCACTTGTGTCAATCAGCTTCTTTGCATTGTGCTGGCGCCACTAATCTTCAGCTTCATCAATTGCCTTTTTAAAATACACAGGCGCCTGCTTTGCAACTTCCCGTGGCAAAGGAATACATTCAATCAAACAATGAAGACGCTGTTGCCCCAAGCCCATCACCGTTTAAAAGAACACCACCTCTTTATCTTGCTCACCAAACATCATAGTTAAGCATTTCTTGAAGCATGAATTTCATCCCACACGTAGTTGTCAATTGTTCTTGTGGCTGACTCATGCTGCGTTGGTAAGATGCAGCAGTGACCTGGCACAAATGGCTGCCGTTGTGGCAACATCAAGTAAAATTTGCTGTAGCAACGACAAGATGTTTTGGTCTGTTTGGGTTGTCAGAGCACAAAATGAGGCGCTCTTGCTGAGTCAATATACGCCTTGACAAATCATTGTTCCCACCCGTCTTTCGAGACTTTCTGCTTGGACCATCTTCATCATCTGCCTGACCAGAAACACTATATAGTTTGTTGTGCATTATTCTACGAGCTAGATGCTTGTCAGTATCATCATCATCCTTCCTTTTTCTCATCGAGACATGATGAACAACAAAATCTGCTTGTTCTGCTTCTCACTTGCATGATCTCCAGTTCTCTGCTGTGCTTTCATGCCCTCAACTACCAGCAGAAGTTTCTCAGCTTCCTCATGCTTTCCCTTCATTCGAAGCTGCAAAGCCTTAGTCGCCAATTGGTTTGTGCTCAAAGTCTCCTTACGAGCTTCACTCGGTTTATATGCGCCTGAGTCCACATGTACCAGTCTCCGTGTCCTGCTTGCGAAGAAATTCCTGCATAAAGTTTCCATCATTGGCAAACTTACTTGCAGCATTTTTAGCAGGAGTATTTTGGCGTGTTGTCTTTTTCCCCATGATAATAAATCAAGGACTTCTGGGGCCCTCAAGTCAGAATGTCCAAGAGATACATCCTGCAAATAATCTGGAGCAGTGTTCTTCCTAGAATCTCTTCCGCTTTCATTGTCTGCTACTTTTTCTTTCTCCTCATCTTGCCCTTGCTTTCCATTTCTTATGGCATGCTAGGCCAGCATATCAAGAGAACCCCAGCGTCCTTGTCCAGCAGCTTGCTCTTCTGCACGCTTCAAAGCTTTAAGTCTCCAACTAGCACCGCCATCTTCCACAAGTGAAGAAGATATAAGTCGGTCCGCACCAACTCTTTTTTCCTCTGGATAAACAGTCCCATTATCTTTTTGATATGAATTCAACTCTCTGGGATTCACCTTCTTTATCTGATTTACATTGATGCCTGATGTAATGCTCGAATTTGTTCTGTTTCTCATTTGATGAAGAAATTTGAGGCGGGTTTTGAGAGAAAAGAGAGGAGAGAGAGAGAGAGTTGTGTTTTGGCCGTCGTTTTTGAGCTGTGTTGCTCAGAAAGGAAGAGTTATCTATTGAAACAATTAATTAACGGCATTATAATAATCTTGAATTATAGCTTGATTAGGATATTTAATTTTAGGCAAACTAGTATTTCTTTTTGAGTAAGTTTTGTATTTCTAGTTAGATTAGAATATCAAATCCTTATTAGTGTAGGAAAAGATTATTGTAAAGAACTGAATTGAATTGACAGCCAATTTTCTTCATCATCATGCCCAGAGGCGGAGGGGAGGGGGCTAGTCGGGGCCCCCGCCCCTCCCAATATTTTTAAAACTTTTATAATTTATTTTTTTTAAAACGTGATCATTTTTTTTATGAGATATCTTACAACAATTAATCAATAACTCATTTTAATATACTAACTTGTAAGAATTGATTTTTAGATTTAATGAGAATTTGGTAGAGTTACTCACTTTGAACTTTCACAATAATTTCGAATTGTTTGATATTAAAAATATTTAAAATCTCACAAAAAAATATTATCCTAATAACTTTATTTAAGATAATAAAATACATTTAAGCTATCTATTCAAATTTAACATTCTTCATAATTAAGTTTTGAAAAATATATTTACACTTTTTTTGTTATGTCAACTATTAAAGAAAATGAAAATATCAAAACTCTTTTATTATCCACTGCAACATCAAAATATGTATTTTTTGTTATCAAAATTGTTAAGTAATAAAATATTAGATGATTGTCTTAGAACATTAAAAATGAAATCATTTGAAATTTTAATATTAATATAATAATAAATACTTTCAACTCTATGAAAAACCAACGAGCTTAATTAAAGATGTCTAATCTTAGTACGTAATAGTTATTACAACCGACTGTACGGATAGATTTCCATATTTAGATCACAAACATCATAGAAAGAGACAACGGGACAGACCATATCATCTTACGAGGACTGAACATATGATAACAGCTTCTCAAAGTGGAAAAGGTGTTTCCGAATGCGGTATAGATGGTAAGTGTAGAGAAATGCAGCCAACGTCACCGCCGAAAAGGACATCAGATTCAACTTCCAGAAATCCTAGACAAGGAGAAAAACCCAGTGAATTTAAATTTTGAAGCATGTAATTCTGAGAAGAAGAAGGTTGATTTCAGCTATAAATCCTTGTAAAACACAAGCTAAACTCTAAGGATGATTACCCGTGGATTTGAGATTACTATTCCCATGACATAAGCCATCAAATCCAAGGTAGACTGAAGTGAGTTCTGAACACCTCCCACAATGCAACGATCAGATTCAGGAACAAGATCCTGTCCAGGAGACAGTGGCAAAAGAGAAATAGAAAATGCAGTGAGACAAAATTTTCGAAATGAAGCTGTCTAATGCATCAGCAAATGCAGAGATTAACAAGATTTGATAGTTCCAGTTTATGATTAGTTGCGTTCTTCTACCTGCATTTCTTGGGTGACGGATAAGTCGAACATCCACAAACCAAGACGAGATGTTGCAACTCCACCCATCAGCATGTATGCTGCTAAATGGTTGTTTTTGACCCAGATTGAAGCCACACATAGCAGCAGGCAAATCCACTGCATTCAAAGGTGCATGCCAAAATGGAATTGAAGGTAAACAGCATCAAGGAAAGGTAATTCTACAATGGCTAAGTAACTCCTTAATTGGTCTGTAGATGATTTATACCTGGGACCAGGCAGACCAGAGTCCTGTTCTGAGTGTTAAAATACGAGATTGTAGCTTGGGATACACAAGTGTTGCAGCTATTCCAATTGAAGCACTAATGCCACGTGCTATTCCAATCACAAATGCGGGTATGCCTTCCCATTCCAAGGCAGCCGTCATCAAAGTCCCAAAGCTGGAAAAACATTAATCAGTAAAAGGTGAATTGCCATGGAGAAAGAATCCCAATGAAATAATTACTTCCATTGACTTCAGAGGTAAAACAAACAGAATTCCTGGATACTCACCTTAGGACAGTGAAATACAACAAAGCTAAAGCAACTCCAGGTAGAACAACATCTTGCTGCAGATATACTCTCCATGCATCAATGTAAGGAACCTTAGAGACCCACTCGATAAATTTACTCCCACTGTTCTTTCCTGCGGCTGCTGAATTCTCTCCATTATTGGAAAGTGAATCAGGTATTTCCTGAGAAGCCGACGTGCTTTCTTCCACAACATCATTTGGTAAAACTTTTGAAATCCTCCTTAGGCTGCTTTCACCTAAAGCTGGGATCCCGTTATACACAGCCATAAAAAGCCAATATTCCACCCAAACAGTTATAGTTGTCCACCCTGCTAAGGTCATAGCAGATGCTTTTAGTGATACAAAGCTGATAATGAAGCCAGTTATAACTGGTGCAACTAGCTTGCAGGTTAAATCAATTCGTCTGATGACAGAATTCATCTCAGTCAGTAAACCTGGAGGATGGCCTTCTGATATTACCACCACCCTGTTCTTGAAAAGAGAAAAAAAAAACGGAAGAGGATCAGGAGGGGAACATTAATATAACAAGCATGCTTGTTGAATAAATTGAGAATGACTAAGAAGAATAACACTAAATCTTTACTTCACCTCTTTAACAACTGAGCAGAGAGTTGGATAAATTGAGAATGACTAGAAAGATATTATTCCATCAAATATAGTCAAACATATGAATGTATGATAGAAATAACTTGTGACCATGCCTAAGTAGAACTAAACTTTACTCCTCTTCATATTAGTCCATATTCTCCTGTTTTCTTTTCTTTTCTTTTTTCTCTCTCTCAGAGTACTATATGAAATTACCATTCTCTTTCAATCAGGATGGTACCGGCTAGAGTTGAAAGCACACCAACAGCTCCAGAGATGTTAGTAAATATCACCAGGGAGATGAATGCTACGAGATTTGTGACCTTCAGGTTTGAAAATACCAGTAAGGCCATTACTGCACATCCAGCAATTATGAAGGACAGATTCTGGGTTGCTAACCAAAGTTTAAGAACCTGCCAACAGAAATTACATAACACATATATAGTCACTCTCTTTGTCAGTTGTTTAGATTTATTGATCAGCAGCTGGTTCCACCGTCAGTTTTCTTAATAACGTGAAATAGTATTGCTCATGTTGCAGTGAGATTCAGTTATAACTCTAAAACTTTTGATAAACTTCTGTAAATCACATGGCTACATTTACAAAACGGGGTTCACATGGAAACTGAACTTCGAAGCCTTAAATTTCAACTAAAGAAACGAAGATCTGAAGCAAACCTTTACATATGAGAGCCTATCCACCCATCGTCCAACGATGGGACCAAATAATGCAGTAGAAGCAGATTCCACAGCACCATAAATAGCAGCAAGGAGTAAAGAGTCTGGCCAAACACTGATCATGTATAAACCGACAGAGAATTCCCACATTCTGCAATGAAGAAAAGCATTAAACAGAAATTCCATGCGAAGCACACATGGGAGAGACAGGCAATTCAGATCATTCTTGTTGCACAAAGAATACATGCCTGGCAAAATCGAAGTAGTCAAGAGATGATAATTGCTGTGTAATAGGTGTGCTCAATATAAATAGTAGAAAACTTACACGAAAATATCCCAAACAACCCCTTATATAACAGGTTATATGTATCATGTATATCAATCAATCAGCCTGGTTGAAACCATGCAAGGAGTAGAACAAAAAAAAAAACCTGGCACCCCATCTCGCAAGAAAGTGAGCGGCATAAAGATACTTGAGAAGGGATGACGGAGGTCTCTGTTCCTGTGCGAGTGGTTCACTATCCATTTCAGCTGCTTATCCAATCTTTCCTGAGCTTTCAGGTATTCAGGTTGACACAGAGAGAACCAGACTGATGCAAGTAAAAGCCTCATAAGCCATACAAGGCAATTATCTTAATTTCATTACTTGAATCTGCGTATAGAACATCAAAATAAAAAAATTTGGTTACACTTGGGATGAAAACAAAGACTCCGCTAGACGCCAAACATATTCAGCAATAAGCTTAAACCCCACCCAAAAATCATCCCACAGACATAATATCCCTGTACTGCAAAAGCGTCAAAGACACAGAATCTACAAGAGAAACACAATGAGTAGAAAGACCATCCTCCATTCCTTTAGCATGAAATAGAATCAGATTCGCCTTCATGCCCTGGCCATCCTCAAAGCACTGCATAAACCAGAATAATGGCACTACCTTGAGACAAAACCACATCGGGGTTACAACACAGCAGCCAAAAGTATAACATCATGCCATCAATACACACCAACACATCACAAACCACGCTAATCAAAGGCCATTGGTAAGAGAGTTGTCCACTGGATCCCTTCTTTAGCAAAGAATCTCAAAGATGGCTTTTGTGTTCTTTTCGGATCGATGGAGTCTATTTTGGGTTTTGCTAAAACAGAGAATGACAAAGAAGATAAATACCACTTGAGTTTTTAACTGATGACGACTTGTTCATGAAGAACAGTAAAGCTAAGAACAATCCCAAAACCCCAAAGATGACAGACGTTTCCGATATTGGAGAGTGATGATTGGAAATATGAGGCAGAGATAAACCCCAAAAGGAGTGAGCGTGCTGTTAGTGCACTTCCACTTACTGGACAGATGGCATAATTTTATAAGAGGCGCAGGGAACGGGACAGCAATTCGGGGCGGAAGATTTGCATTCCACGTAGATTCCCCATTAGCGGTAATGAAAGTTTACGAAACTAAATTATCATCCTTTTCATGGGGAGATGTGGTTAGTATCGTCGTTCCCAAAACTAGAAGTGCACGTGGTGCAGAATCCCAGACCTAGTTTGGACTCTAACGTTAACTGACGCTGTCTATTTTTTCATAGCCCGGAAAGGGCAAGACATGGGACTTCCGTCGTCACTGACAATCAGCTTGAGTTTTATTTTTAAGGAAAACAATCTGGCTTTGATGTTTGAGAGAATCTTTGTATGTTAATTTCATTTTGTTTTTAGGCTTTTATAATCTTGGTTGCTGAGGCAGTGCCTGGCAATGCTCTGAGGTTTAGACAGAAGAAAACATTAACAAATGCGAGAGCAAGTAAGCATAATCAGCCTAATAACCTTGGCTTCTTGCGAGTACACATGCAGAATGACACCTCACCCCTTAATATGAGTATTTCAACAATTAAATCTTCATGGCAATCATAAGATAATCAATTGGCTCAAAAGGATTTTGCCAAAATTCATCATTTCAATCCAAAATATTCCTGCTTTTGAAGACCACATTAACAAATAATCTTATGGTAATACACAGATCCCATATGTATCTGGTCAAGGGAAAGGAGGGAAAAAAAAAAGAATTAAAAAGAAACTGAATTATGAAAAACAAAAACAAATAGCAAAAAAAAAAGATTGTTACAGACACATTTAAGGAGACAAAAGAGGCATTAGAAACCATGTGGACCCTGCAAACAAGTAAAAATGACATTAGTTCATAAACAAAGGATTAAACTGGTCAGTATGCATTAAGTAATTCATGTTGCTGTCAAATGAGATGCAACAGAAAATTAAATATATCTATTTATCGTTATGATATTGAATCCGCCTGAATTATAAAGCATGCCAAACAAAGCTTATTTTAAAACCTAAGATCCCTCTTCAGCAGTGCAGCAGAGTCTCTTTCCTTTCCTGTATGTATTACAGTATACGGGTCCATGCTGTTTCTCAGTATGAGTTTTACAGGTGTATCTTCTAAAATTACCAAAGTAACTTCAATTCATTTGATAGTGCTGTGTCTTCACCCTTTCCAACATTGTTATTTGAGGTGATATGCTGACATGTTACTAGAAAGGCACCTATTCCCGATGGAAATGCAATCCATAGATTAATGATTACAACAAAATAGTACCAAGAACCTATATCCAAATCTGATGCATTTGCAGCATAAAAACAATAGTCAAAGGTTTCAAGAGTAAATAAGTAATCTAATTCTAAGCACATATATATGATGAAAGAATCTGACCGATAAGTGGACCTCCCTTTAATTATCTTGAACACTAAACATTGGGACCAATAGAAGTAGACTAGAGAGTATCAGCATGAGCTATCTATCTAGTTGATCACCAACTTTAGAGATGTGCATTAAGATTTTATCTTGTATTTCTAGCTCCAAGCCCACTTGAGCTAGGGTGGATATGAGAGAAGAAACTCATCAATGGGGCTGCACCTGAGCTGAGCAGCTCACAAGCTGCTTGAGCTTGACAGAAATTGGGGCAGCTTGGCCTTAGCTCAAATATAGCACGAATTAAGATCACTAATGCATGAGGTCAAGCTTGAGTTTGTATAGGCTTGTTGGTAAAACAAGCCCTCTTTCCCCACAATCCTCAAAAGCATAGGAAAACAGCATTCTAGTTAGTGTTGACCCAACATTTCTCGTTACTGAGGCTCTTGCTATTCTTCTTTAGTTGAGTAAATTCCATTAAATAAGTCCTATTCTTATCAATCGTAGGAAAAAAGAGTCCTATAAATGAGATAAGGAGACCAGTAGCTGGTTATCTGAGGCTGCTTAAAAACAAGAAAAAATGTCCCAGCACCACAAAAGAAACATCTTCTAGCAGAAGAACAGAAATTTAAGCATGACAGTCGGTTAGACTGATGCTGGTTATCATCCTATTTCATCAAAGTCCAAACCTAAGAGAGAAACAGTTTCATAACCCAAAGTCCACCATTATGAGCTTTTGAGAGGAGGCACTTGTTCTAATGCTGCAACAATCCTAGCAATTCCATTTCTATCAAACAATATGTGCACTGCTAGGAGAATTTGTAGTAAATACCATCAAACAACTAGACTTCCATATTATCCAATGCTTTATGATTACAGAAAAGGCCTCAATCCCGAGCCTGATAATATAAAATGCTAATATCTAACATGAGAAGAACATAAGCATCTCCAGTATTCTGAGGTCAATTCCTAGCCCGAGAGTCAGGGGTGGAGAACTTAATTGTACAAGCAAACCGGCCAGCAGCAAAACTTAGTATTCTTCTTATACAAGATTTGTTGCAGTGAAGAAAGCAAAATAAGCAAAAGAAAACCAGAGCAGAGCAATAGGGCTGAGGCACTCACAGTTCTAAATGTTTGAAATGCAGAGACCAAGCGGGTTATCTCAAGAATCACCCTTCATTTCATCTGAATCTGAATCACTTGCATTATAACCTGATAAAGGCTCAGACCAGCAAGCAGAAATTGCAATCAATTATCATACTAGTATTATACTACTATTAAAAGGTGATGGTGATGGTGATAGTGATAGTTACAGAGGTGAACCTGGATGCTTATCGCTGACTTTCCAAACCGAAGACCGCAACCTCGATGCCCTTGTCATCCAAATTCTTCCCTATGATCCCAATAGACGAAACCAAAACTTAGAAACAAAGGCACCCTAAATTGGAAAAAGAAGAAAATGACGAATAATGAAAGAAAAGAGGAAATAGAATCTCTATTTTCTTAATCTTGGAAGCTAAGAAAAGAAAAGAAAAGCTCGAAACTTGGGTTCATCTTGGTAAAGAATTATAAAGAAGAGCAAAAGCGCAAAATTATAAAATTTATTACAATTGAATTGCTTTTCCTCAGCAATAAAAATAGCAAAGCATACACCAGAAAGATAAAATCAACCCCTTTATAGAATCCGGCAAGAAAAAAGAAGGAACCTTCTGTGCATCTCGAGGAACCCCATAACCGCTGTAATACATTTGACTGACGAGAACCTGCATGTTGACATCCCCAGCTTTGGCTTCCTTGAGAGTGTCTTTGAACCAGCGCTTGACGCAATCGGAGACAACATCGGAGAGAGGGAGGCGTTGACTGGCACTAGAGCTCTCCATCTTGTTCTTCGACTTGTCTTCACTCACAATCCGCCGGTTCTGCGTCGTGGGCTTTGCGTTTTTCCCTGTTTTGTTGAGATGCTGAGCGGTGGCCTTTGCAAGATGTTGAAGCTTGGTTGCGCCAGGGAGCGACCTTCCCATAAACAAAAACCTAAGAAAATTTTTTAAAAAATAAAAATAGAGAGAGAAGCGAATTGAATTGTGTGTCCTTATAAACAAGAGAGAATAAAGAGGGAAAATTCCATTGACCTATCTTTTTGGTTTTTTCAGATTTTTTTTTACTTTTTTTATTGTAATTAATAAATAAATTAATCTTATTTTGATGAGCTTTTCAAAGGAAATAGAAAAATACATTGTCATCATATAATATTACCGAATTTTTTTTATTAAAAGCATGAAAGATTCAAAAGATTCGAGGATTTAAATTTGATATAATTCGAGTAATATCATTGAGTTTTCTTGATTAAAGGAATTAAAGGACCCAGAGCATTGAAAAGCTGATATTTAATATAACTTGGATACCAACGAACGATAATCGACTACGATCAGTGGCAAAAGGTAGACGGTACACAAACAAGAAAAACAATCATAAAGGTATCCGAAAAGGAGAGAAAATTATTTATTTTTTAAATTTATGTGAATGGATTTAGTTTAAATTTAATATAATTCCGACTTGTTACAAGTTTACATTTTTAATTAAAAAAATTCAAAAAATTTATAATTATAAATTTAGTGCTCATCCCAGCTGTCCTGTTGTTGATATGAAATTCATTGAACTGTGCCGATATCAATTTGATTATTGCAAGCACCGTTGAGAACCGCAGCTTCACAAGTCACATGCACCGTTGATTTCTTGGAAAAACAATTTGCAGAAAAAAGCATCATAAACACAAGCATATGCTCACATATCAAAATTGATACCATGTCAAAAACAATTTACACCTTTCAATATTTCTTCACATACTAGGACACTGCATTTGACTGGCGCAGCGCTTGCACGCTGAGACATGAAACTCCTCCCTGTATAACCATTTCACCCGCACCTTGGATTCCCTGAATATATAGCAAGGCCAAGTGCTGGTGACTCAGTGAGATACACGTACAGGAGTGGGAAGGGCAGGATATTATACACCAACAGAAAGTTGAGGAAAAGAATACACCAGACCAAAGATATTTCCTATTCGCCAAGATTGGAGCAATTAATTGTATTGCTTCACCAATTTGAACTAGTAATCACAATCTTTCAAGAATCACTCCAACCATCTTCATCATCATCTTCGTCGCTTCCAGCCAATGCCTATTTTAACAGAGATGATTTTAGAAATTGTACACTCAAAAGAGAGGGAGAGAGAGAGAGAGAGAGAGAGAGAGAGAGAAATAGAAACCTGGCGAATTGCATTTGCTTTCTCCAAGATCGCTGCAACTCTTAAGTTGGTTTTAGGACCCTGAACGCTGGGTCTGGTCACCACTGCAGGCTTCAGGTTGAAGGACTGTACAAAGCATAATAAATCAGCCCTCACTTTATCCGGCAGATGCATTTCCCACTTTTCAACACTTTTTCTTCTATATATAAAATAAGGAACAAAAAGAATGTCAAGAATTGGGGAATTTGGTCTAACCTTGGTTCGTATCTGTTCCAGCAATGAATCTCTTTCATCTACCTTTGGAATCATTGGAGGTCGAGCCCGCTCAGTTACCTTTCTCAACTGCAGAAAATTCAAACTGTTACTTCAAGAAGAAAAGGCAGACTGGAAAAA